AGAAGCAAATCTCATCACCCAGTGGCATCCCTGCCCCGCCAGCGCTCCCACACAGTAGCTGTGTTCGCCCACAGCTACTTTACGCGGTGCTTCTTGCTCGCAAGACGCGGGCATGGGAGGCGAAAGACACTGCGCTTTCTCCCCGCATCCCCTTTCCCACCGCGGCCGTCCTGCTGCTCCCACCTGTGGATGATGTAGTTCTCATGAAGGTACTGCAGGCCCTTGAGGACTTGCAGGATGATGCACTTCACCTGCAGACAGAGGACAGGAGCACCGACCTCTGCGAGAGCAGCACCAGCCGGGCAAACCCCTGGAGGTTAAACTCGCTCGGGTGCCCTGTGGTCTGCTACATCTGTCACTGCTCTGCAGTGCCTCAGTCCCCATGTCCTCCCAGAAGTAGCTCACAGGCTGTCTGGGGCACATTTTCTCCCAGCTCTGTTTCCCTGCCGGTTTGCTCCAGCCCAAAACCCAGCCTGGAAAGTCCCTGGAGTGTTCTGTGAGAGCCAGCTAAGCCCCTGCTCCCCACACGGCCTCACCCGGTGCTCCCCAGCCCTGCTGAAGCCCAGCACAAGATCCAGGGATCACAAAGTCTGGGGAGTCCATGCTGGTGGCCAGTGTGTTTTGGCTGGAGTGGCAGCACCCTCTCAGGGGTGATGTACCTAAAGCTCAGCCCAACTTTTACCTGAGCCTCTGAAAAAGGCGTCTGCATGTTCTCAAGAAGGCTGGCTAGGTCCTGCTCACAGTAGCCCATCACCAGGAAAATACTGTCGTAGACAAGACGCAGTCAGGAGCCTCCCCCAGGACACCTCTCCAGTGTCCCAGCGCAGGTCTATGCCGCGAGAGACGGCTCAGGGGACCGAAAAGGGTCTGAAAGGCAGAGAGGGCAGGAGACAATGGCAGGACAGACGGGGGACTCTCACCTCTCCAGATGGTTCCCTACAACCACCTCCTTCAGCTCCACGATGTTGGGGTGCCGAAGCTGCAGGAGCAGGGTGATCTCCCGCAGGCTGCTGATGGGC